ATCCGGAGTTTTCTTGGACTCGCAGGATACTACCGGAGGTTCATTGAAAATTTCTCGAAGATCGCAAAGCCTATGACAGAGCTGTTGAAGAAGGATACCAAGTTCATATGGACTGAGGAATGTGAGGCCAGTTTCCAGGAGCTGAAGAAACGTTTGGTTACATCACTTGTGTTGATTTTGCCGGATCAGACCAAGGATTATGAGGTGTATTGCGACGCTTCACGTTGAGGAATTGGAGCAGTGCTTATGCAGGAAAGAAGAGTTGTTTCATATGCCTCACGATAGCTTAAGCCCCATGAGTTGAATTATGCTACACATGATTTGGAGTTAGCAGCCGTAGTGCATGCATTGAAGACTTGGAGACACTTTCTCATTGGAAATCATTGTGAGGTGTACACAGATCACAAGAGTTTGAAGTATATTTTCACACAGAAGGAGTTGAATCTCAGGCAAAGGAGATGGTTGGAGCTCATCAAGGATTATGATATGAGACTGCATTATCATCCCGGAAAGGCTAACGTGTTAGCTGACGCGTTGAGTCATAAGAGCCATGTCAACACACTAATGACGGGAGATTTACCAAGGGAGTTCGCCGAAAATCTTTGTGAGCTATGTTTGGAGATAGTCCCGAGAAGGCTATGTAGCAGCGTTGGAGATTCAGTCGACTTTGATGGATAAGACCAGAGAAGCCCAGAAGACTGACAAGGAGATCGCTTCTATTAAGGATAAAATGAGCAAAGGAAAAGCTAAAGGATTTCGTGAAGATGAGCACGATACCTTATGGTTTGAAGACCGTGTTTATGTGCCTAATGACCCGGAGATCAGGAAGTTAATTCTGCAAGAGGCCCATGACTCACCATACTTGATTCACCCAGGAAATACCAAGATGTATTTGGATTTGAAGGATACTTTCTGGTGTACCGGAATGAAGAAGGATATTGCGGAGTATGTAGCAGTTTGTGCTGTATGTTAGAGAGTAAAGGCAGAACATCAGAAGCCAGCAGGATTGCTACAGCCATTGTCGATACCCGAATGGAAGTGGGATAAGTTAGGCATGGATTTTATTACGGGTTTACCCAGAACTCAGTCAGGCTATGACTCGATTTGGGTTGTAGTCGATCATTTGACAAAGGTAACTCATTTCATCCCAGTGAAGACTATCTATACCAGTGCAAAGTTTGCCAAGATATACATGACCAGAATCGTATGTCTGCATGGAGTTCCAAGGAGCATTGTATCAGATAGAGGAACCCAGTTTACCTCAAAGTTCTAGAATCAGTTGCATGAAACTTTGGGTACCAGGCTAGAGTTTAGTATAGCTTTCCATCCGCAGACAGATGGACAGACCGAGAGAGTCAATCAGATTTTGGAGGATATGCTGAGAGCTTGTGCGCTAGATTACGGATCTAGTTGGGACGAGAATTTTCCATATGCAGAGTTCTCTTATAACAACAGTTATCAATCCAGTTTGAAGATGGCCCCTTTCGAAGCCTTGTACGGAAGGAGGTGCAGGACCCCATTGTCGTGGGATGAAGTTGGAGACCACCAGTTGTTTGGACCGGATCTGATTAAGGATTCTGAATAGAACGTGAAATTGATTCGTGATAGGCTCAAGGTAGCCCAATCCAGGCAGAAGAGCTATGCAGATTCTAAACGCAAGGAGACAGTTTACGAAGTCAGAGAGCGAGTTTATCTTCGAGTATCTCCACTTCGAGGAGTTAAGCACTTTGGAGTTAAGGGAAAGTTAGTGCCACGTTTTGTAGGACCATACAAAGTTTTGGAACGTATGGGAGAAGTAGCCTACAAGCTGGAGTTGCCCGAAGGATTGTCAGGAGTTCACGACGTGTTCCACGTTTCTCAGATGAAGAAGTGCCACGCAGAGATGGCTGATATACCGCTGAGAGATACAGTGCCGCTGGAAGCAATTCAGTTGGATAGTGATTTGACCTATGAGGAGAAACCAGTCAAGATACTTGAGTATGCCAGCCGAGTCACCCGCAGCAAGGTTATAAAGTTTTGCAAAGTTCAGTGGAGCCACCACACGGAGGATGAAGCCACCTGGGAGCGAGAGGAAGAATTGCTAAAGGACCATCCTCACCTATTTTCTAGCCAACCCGAATCTCGAGGGTGAGATTCATCTTAAGGGGGGTAGGTTTGTAACATCCCAAATTTTCAATTTGGAATGTTATACACTAGATCATCATTGCATATCATATTTTATTGCATTTTTGGCTGATCCTAGAAATTCTACGCAACTCAAGGACCCTCGGAGAGAGTTGGGGATTTCGTTATTTTCATATTTGAGTTTTCTCAAATTTTGAAAATAGGATCATTTATTTATATTTATCTTATCTTCAATTATTTCTATAACAAAAAATATGAGAGAGGGAATAAAATGACTTTCCCGAAATAAAGAAATATTGAGGATTTAATAAAAAATCAAATAAGATTTTATTTTGGTTTTATTTACTATTTTATTTGAATTTAGGAAAAATGCACGGTTTTCAAAATTGCATTTAGGCCCCAAATAAATGTTCATCCTGTGCGGCTTGATTTTAGAAGCCGGGGAAATTTTATTTCGGGATTTTTGGAGTCCGTTTAGTATTCCTTTTGTTTTTTTCTGAGCGTAACTATTTAGAAAAAATGCAACCGACCTACCGGGCCGTGTCCGACCTGGACACTTGGCCCGGCCGGCTTTATAGAGCCGGGGAGGCCCAGCCGAACCCCCAAACCCTAGCCGCCGCCAACCTCGCCGCCCTAGCCCGCCGCCGCCGCCACCCGCCGACGCCGGAGCCGCCGCCCGCCGGATCCGCTGACGCCGGAGCTGCCGCCCGCCGGATCCGCCGCCGCCGGAGGTTGGCCTGGCCGCCACCGGTTTTTCTCGACAACCGATCGGTTTTCCGTCGGTTTTGTTAAGTTTTTTTAGTTCCGTTTTTTTAAATAGATCGGTTTTCCGGTTTATTTATTTAGCGAGCGTTCGCTCATTCGTTCGTTTTAACAAACACGTTCTTCGTTTAGATCCAGTTAATGAACGTCCGTTCGTTAATTTGTTCGTCGTTTTCTTTTTCTCAGATTAAATCTGCGATTTTTCTGATCGCGATTCCTGATCCGTTTTTCGTTCTAGTATAACTTTTCGCTCATTTATCGGAACCAGGCGATTCAAGCGCCTGGAGTTTCGTCCCGAAACCCTCTTTCCGTTTAACCAACTCAAACAAGTTTTGCGTCTATAAAATTTTCCCTAGATCCATAATAGTAAATGAAGCCTGTTTCTTTTGCCGTTTGTCTTTCGTTGCTTCGTTCGATTCGATTCTTTTTGCCAACCGGAGTTCTTAAGTTGAACTTTCTGGTTAGATCGCTTATTCGAGTTTTACCAGTGCATTAGTTGAGTACTTATTGTATGCTTGTTTGTTTGCGATAGAGTACCCGGAGTGCGCCGCTTGCTACTTCGAATCGCTAGGTTTCCCGGATTATCAGCAAGGCAAGTAACACTTTGATCATACCTCCTACTACCCAGTTTTATTGCATTAGATCAATCCTCACACAATGCATGGTCTGGATCTAATTAAATTGTGGGTTTGGGAAGTAGTTGAGGTAGTACCTATTACCTGTTTACTATCAGACCTTTGGGAGTTACTTCTACGTTTGCTTAATATGCCATGCTATGCTAGTAGACGTGGATTGGGTGAGTGAAATCCATGACAGATGTGAGTTTGATAAATTAATGGTTTATCTAAGGTGACAACTTAAATACACATCTAGGTGGATTGAGGCACCTGGATATTCCAGCGATTGCCTGTTTTTCTTTTGGACCGCCACCCAGGCTCAAAGGGATCATGAGATTATTCATGCTAGAAACTTCCGTGTGCAGCAACAAGCTACTACGGGCTCTAGCATAGTTGACTAAGTCATGTGAACTCTTACAGTGGTAGACTAGCAGATGTAGGGGAAAGTAGGTGTAACGGTCTACCCGGTCGTAAGGTGCTAGCGCTTCTGAAAGACTATGTCTCGGGCATCCATTTCTCAAACACCATGTAGTGCGAGAAATCAAACGGAGGCGATCGAGTCTTGTGGGGAAAAGTGCGCAAACATCTGCAGAGTGTATAAACTAATCATGGTTAGCCGTGTCCCCGGTTATGGACAACTTGAGTATCTAGTACCTGGATTATCATGGGAATCTCATCATGTTACTCTAAAATTAATTTTGTTGGGTTTTGTTTAATGATGATGCCTAAATGGGATTGAGAATGCTGTCAACCATTCTCAATGTTTAACAACTACCATGATAGTTAAATAAAATTTATTCCTTTGTAGTAGGGAAAAATTGGCTTTACGCAAAACTGTAACCATAGAGCTTTTCCACCAGCCAAATATGCATATAGTATAGCCTTATTCTTTCATTGCTCTCTATGTGTTACATTGCCAGCAAATTCCATGTGCTGACCCGTTTCGGGCTGCAACGTTCATGTTGCAGACTTTTTAGACGACGATTAAGGTGTTTTTAGGTCGTGGTTCTATACTCAGTGATTCCGTTGGAGTTGATGGACTCACTTATCTTCCAAGCCTTCCGCTGTTATTGTTATTAGATGGCCTTTAGTCATATTTATTGTAATAAGTTCTCTTTCGTGACACTCGATGTAATAAGTGTGTGATTGCTACTCTGTTATAAATCCTTCAAGTATTGTGTGGTGTTAGCATTACTGATCCAGGGATGACACCTGAGCACAGAGATTGGACCATTTGAGGTCTGGTTGCTACAAGTTAACTGCAGGAAACACCGACTGATCTGTGAATGAACTTGAAAAGAAACTTTGCTTCATGGCAGGGCAGGACAGGGCAGGAGTACTAAGCTGAAGCCTAAAGGAACAAAAGTAACTTATGTACTTGATTGTAACCTAAGAAACAAAAGAACGGCGAAGAACTGACGACTAGCTGCTGCTAATTAGACACAAGCAACATTTTACAGTTGTTGTGCTACGTGTTGATACTGCCCAGCAGTCCTTTCACAAGATCGGCGAGCTGCTCGGGTTCCTCTCCCAGGGCTTGGCATGAGCGCTCGGGCCGGAGCCGAACGTCTCCGCCGCGCCGCTGCCGGTCCGGGCCATGCCGACCACGCCGCCCATGGGCTGCATCAACACGGGGAGGCCCCTGCTCGTCGTTGCACCGATGGGGCTCATCCTGAGCCCTAGAAAGTCCAGCGTGGCCGGCTTGGCGCTGAACAGTGATGACTGGCCCATCATGAGCTCCGGCAACCCCATCGGACCGCCGGTAGAGTCGTATGGTAACCCGAGGCCCAGCCCGACCGACATCATCGGAGCTGGCTCGGGCTCCAACCGCAGCGGCCATTGCTATAGCGACCCCTCCGGGAACTGCATTTGCATGGGCACCTGGTGGTGGTGCTCCTGCTATTGACGCTGACCTGACGACGTCGACGCTAGCAACGACGATGAGATGTCCAGGCCCAGCCCACGCAAGAACGAGGAGCTCGACGAGGTGGCGCCCATCTGCGCCGCCTTCTGAAGCAGCGTCGTGGCGGACATGTGCGCCGCCTTCTGAAGCAGGTTAAAGAGATTGCTCTAGCACGGACTCCAAGAAATAATATGGTGTCAGATGGATGTCGTGGTGGTGGCGTGTGCCGTACTCCTGGACGTGAATGCTTGTTCTAGCCCATGTCACCCTACTACTCCTACTACTTACTCCTACTATATAGTACTAGTATCGAGGATTCAAGGTGCTGGTTACATACAGCGAACACATTAACATATGGCTACAGTAAAAACACCCACCCGACGCGCGAAGCATGTGAAGCTAGTACAAATAGTGTACTACTATTGTTGATTGGCCTCATCCGATAACCTGTTGCAATGCACGTACAATTGTGTATTCGGAAAATATTTTTTTGCCTCGTCACACCACTCAATCAGAGAAGCGACTCGAAAGCCATTCATAAATTTAGTAAGTTTATCACAGGCATATCATTTTATTACATACAACAGGTCATCAACCCACATCGACAATGAGGATACATTATAAATACTAAAGTTTTCACCACACAACAAATAATAAGCCATGAAATGAACTTCAACTCAACCATTCCGCGGCGTTGGAAATGCTTGCTTTGAACCACAAGTGATTCTCTGGGATGGGCCATCCGTTGTCGATCTGGAGACCAACGCAGGACTGATCATCCAGGATGAAGCGGCCTACTATATCAGTACCAGGGTAGGGAACCACCCAAATGTCCGAGGTATAGACACAGTTGCTTCTCATAAATGTGTCAACAGCAGCTGGAATGCCTTTCACCATCATCGGATAGTTTTGTCCAAGGAAGAGCGAGTTTTCTCCAAGACTATCAATTCTGTGCCGGGGAGAAGGAGTTAGCGCTAGCACACTAGTATCCATCCTGAATACCATGCAACGGGTGTTGGAATAGGTCCGGAGAGTGCGACCATGGGAGACACCTGCTTCCTTAGCAGTAACATCATAAGTGGGCTGTATACACACAAGAAGAGGTGATCCATCAGAATTAGTTGCCAGGCGCCACAGAGTATATGGGCGCTGCTCGTGATCATCACCATCGGCAGCTCCCCCTTGGTTATAAAAAATTTCAAGTATAGGTGGTGGGATGTTCACATGACCTTGGAAACACAAGAAGAAGGTTAATTAGTAAAGGGAAACTTGCTAGCCCGCATGCATGTGGATGAAACAATTATAATTATAGTGGAATACAAACGTACCGAAACTACGAGGATACCATGCAAAAAGAGTGCCACGAGTGGTGGCAGCAAACACAAGGCCCTCGTATTGAATTGCATCACAGTACTCATTCGTGCACAGAAACTGATTTTTGAGCAATGTCCATCGAGTCAAACCACTAAGGATGGCAACAAGCTTGTCGAAGATAGCAACAACTTCATAGTTGTTGTAATTCCAAGAGCGGTTGGGAACTCGACAAATTGCTATCTTCCGTAGAAGATAGTCACCATGATCGTATTTGAACGCGTGTACATTACCGGTTTTCTCAACCTCTGGGCAGTGTGCTGAGATTTTTGGAAGTGGAACCCGGTGACGAGTGTACACATTCACAAGTTCCCACTGGCAGTTGGACCCAATGTAAACAACCCAATCTCCATTTGTGCCCACCCAAGCCTTGCCCTCAAGTGATGGCATCTTAACAGCATATGTATCATTATCAAGCGGCATCAACTGGCACAGGGCGAGGCCTCCATCGTGTCGGCGCCAGTCATCAGGGTCAGGCGAAGAAGATAGGGGAGATCAAACCGCTCCTTGACTCTTGGGTTCTTTGTAATGATGTTATTAGTTGAGTTGAGAATGGGCTTGAATGAACCTACCATGCTAGCCGAGGTGATGACGTCGCACCGATCAATGAGTTCCTCCACCACATCATCTTTCAGATCGGGGCAAGAATAACGGGGTCGTTTCCGGCCTGTTCCCTCCATGGAGAAGACGATCGAACAATGGCAGAAGAAAGGGTGAAGGGTTGAAGGAAAATGGAGGAGGGAGAGGAAGAGCGTGCGACAGCAGTCCCAAATCGAGAGGGAAAGGCGAAGAGTCGGTGGACGGTTGCGAGTTTGCCACGGTTCACGAAGAGGCGCCCCGGCCTACACGTCCGTTTGGAAATACTCCTACTACTCGCCGTCGTCTCACTGATATGTTGGAATGGGACCACATGTCAACGAAACATGGTGTGTAATTTCTCGTGCAAAATGCGATCTGGCCGCGTTGGCCCGAGGTGCCGCATTATTTATCGACCTTTATTTTTTTAACGGCGTGCCCATCAGTTTTGAAGCATGACTAACTGGTACTGTACGTGGAGAGGATGACAGCAGCGACCCGCTAAGGTCATGGCAGTACGCAAGCAAGTGCCTCCTTATTTCAAGCCAATAAAAAAATGGCTCCTCCTAGGCATCTAGGTCCCATGCCATTGTCAACGTAGTCAATAAACGAGAGAATTGCACAACGAGCGGCTGACACCAGGGACCCAGTAGCTCGCCCAGTTATTTTTGTTTTGAGTTAATTTGATAAATGCCACTCCAAATCTGGTGTATCCGAGAAATGCCATTGCAATTTCCAAACTTTGAAAAATGCCATTTCATGCCATTTCTAGTGGCATTTTTCGAAGTCTGGAGTAGCGTTTTTCAAAGTTTGCAAACTGCAGTGGCGTTTTTCAAAGTTTGCAAAAATATCAGTGGCATTTTTCAAAGTTTGGAAATTGTAGTGGCATTTTTATGAATCGCCATAATTGGAGTGGCATTTATCTAATTTGTTTTTGAGACGGAAGCACGGTGTCAACTGGGCTGTGCGGGACACTCTGGCCTGTCTAGACAGCCTTTTCTTTTATGTTTACCACACACCAGCCCAGTAGTTCTTTTTCCTTCCTAAAAATGGCTAGCCCAGTTCTTTTGTGATTTGTCAAGTAAGTCGCTTTATCAGACCTGCTGGGCTGCAAATCTTTCAAGACAAGGAGAGCTTCATTCGGCTGGCCGAGAAAATGGCCTATCAGTAATGAGAAATGGGCTATACATTTTTAAAACACATCGAACCGACAATTATTTTCAAATATCTTTTTTTTCATTTTGATATTTTAAATTGCATTGATTTTTATGCATGGACAATTTATTGGATTTTATATTGATATATATTTATTTTTAAAATTAGTCTGAATGTGACTCGAAATTTCGGGATTAAAAACAGTTCAGACCCCACCGACATATGCAAAATTTCGTATAATTTTTTAACCGTGGCCACAATATGGGCTGTAATACTAACATAAAGAATTAGCAAATGGGCTGTAAATTATTTGAAATAATGGCAGATGGACTGTATGCTGTTTTCCACAGATGGCATGTATAATGTTGGATGTCCATCCAACGGCCGTCGTGCTTCTTCAATCTCTGATCTTCCTGCTCTAGCCGCTCAAACAAGCGCCGATGGGACTGCCTGCTCCCTCCTCCCCGCGGCCGGCTGTGCTGCCGCGCAGGCCTCACCGCCCGACCGTACTCCCATCGCTGGCCTAGCCATCCCTCTACTCACCCACAGTTGCTGTTATTCTTTGGCGACGACAGACGAACCAGTAAACCCTCGTACAGTCATACTCCTCTCCATGTGGGAAACAACTGCCGAGTCTTCCCTGCCTCTGTGTCGTTCCCTTCTAGGCGTCGCTGTCGTCCACCGCACTGGTGCTCTCGGCGCGGCCTGGTCAATGACCGACATGCATCTGAAGTGGACTGTACGTGGAGAGGCTGACAGCTGGGTGCACGGCCGCACACAAGGAAATGCCTCCTTATTACGCGCAAAATAATGATTTCCTCCACCTGACATCTGGGACCCACCAAAACAGCCTCTGTATTTCGCGAAAAAATGTTACCGCCGCTGACAGCTCGGACCCACCAGCTATATCTTCGCACGCAAGGAAGTGCCTCCTTATTATGCACAAAAAAATGAATACTCCCCCTGCTAGCTGGGACCCAGTATAGTGGGCCTACTAAGTTGACGGGGACAAAGGGCTTTGTCAACTTAGTCAATATGCACGATTCTAGCTCCAGTGACCGTACGATGTCCATCCAGCGGCCGTAGTGCTTCTTCAACCTCTGGTCTTCTTGCTCCAGCCGCCCAAAGCAGCGCCGGTCGTGCCGCCTGCTCCTGCCTCCCGTGGCCGGCTGTGCTGCCGCGAAGGCCTCACCGCCCCCATACTACTCCCACCACTGGCCAGGCCCTACGGCGATGGCAGCGTCACACCGCAGTCGAACCAGTGAACCCTTGTAGTCCTCTCCGTGCGGGCTTCCACTGCCGCGTCGTCCCCTTCCTAGGCCTCGTCGTCGTCCACCGCCGTGATGCTCTCCACGTGGCATGGTCAACGTGGTCAAGGAACGACTTCCATCGGAAGAGTACTGTATGTGGAGAGGCTGACAGCTGGGTCCACGGCCACAGCTCGGTTTTTTTGTGATTTGCCAAGTAAGTCGCTTTGTCAGGCCTGTTGGGCTGCAAATCTTTCAAGACGAGGAGAGCTTTCATTCAGCTGGCCGAGAAAATGGCCCATCAGTAATGAGCAATGGGTTGTACATTTCTAAAACACATCAAACCAGCAATTAGTTTCAAATATCTTTTTTTTCATTTCAAGATTTTAAATTACGTTAATTTTTATGCGTGGAGAATTTGTTGGATTTTATATTGATATACATTTATTTTTAAAATCAGTTTGAATGTGAGTTGAAATTCGGGATTAAAAACAGTTCGGACCGCACCGAAATATGCAAAATTTCGTATAATTTTTTAACCGTTGCCCCAATAT